GGTTTCTGGATATAAAATAAACATAGAAAAAGCAACTATCTTAGCTATTAATGTAAATAAAGAAGAAAAAAATGAGATTATGAAGAAATTTGACTTTGCATGGGTCGAAAAATCATTAAGTTATTTGGGAATTAATATCTGTGCAGATCCATTAAAAATAGTGGAGATTAACTTTCTCCCACTGCTTATTAAAATGAATAAACTCATAAAGGAATGGAAGAATCTAGAATGCTCGTGGTGGGGCTGTATTAATATTATTAAGTCCTACATTTTACCAAAATGGCTGTATTTGTTTAGAATGATTCCCCTGAGTGTCCCCGATAGTTGGCTGCTACTAATTCAACAGGCCTGGTCTAAGTTCATATGGCAAGCGAAAAAAACAAGAATGACAAGAAAACTCCTCTCGATCAATCAATCTAAAGAAGGGGTAGGATTCCCAGTCATACAGCAATATTATAAAGCGAGTATTCTCTTTCATAGTATCATCTCAGTATCATTGGCAGGGGCTAAACTAGAAAGGTGGTATACGGTGGAAAAAGAACAAGTAGATGGTAGGGATCTATTAACGCTTTTCTGGTTTACTCAAGAAAGAGAAACAAATAAGAGCCAACTAAGTTCTGACAGTGTGGTAATAGAGTCCATTAGAGGAACGTGGGGTAAGATAAAAAAAAGTGCAGGATTTAAAAAAACGCATTATTAACATCCTGCCGATCTCAATATTTGAAAATAATATGCAAGATCTAAGACTAAATAATTGGAGGAGAGCAGGTATACAAACCATAGAAGACTTAACAACAGGACCCAGGGTTAATTCGTTTGAACAAATATGTAACAATTTCAGTCTCCCGGAAATTGAAAAATTCAATTATATGAGGATTAAAAGCTATCTAAATAAAACCCTAAACAAAGAGAAATGGGAATTTAATAATAAATTGGGAAACTTACTAAAAGGAAAGGACATGAAAAACCTGTTAAATAAATGTAACTTGGTATTGAGACAATTCGAGGGAGATTTGACGTTCCCGGCAATAAAAAAATGGGTGAAAGAGTTAAAAATACAAACAATTGATGGACAGGAGTGTAATAGGGCCTGGCTAACAGTTTAACAGTATTAAATGTCTAAATCTAGTTGAGCTACATTTTAAGATCATTAACAGACTCCATTTGGTTCCTAGTCATCTAAACAGAATGGATCAGAATATAACAGATATATGTTGGAGATGTGAAGAAGAAGTGGGAGATTGTGTACATATTTGATGGAGCTGTCCCCCACTAAGGGAATTTTGGAAATTGTTCCTGTCCAAAATTGAAACGGTAACCGGATCTAATTTCCACTTTTCCCCGGAAATGTTTATATTGCACTTAAATATTCATCAGTACAATTTGCAATATTTTGTTAACCCATGCGTTAATAGCAGCAAAGATTTCTATAGCTAAAAAGTGGAGAACTAAAACTCTACCGAATTGGGACATTGTAAAAAATCAACTAATTTCGCAACTTAGGATGGAAGGAGGTATGAATAGAAATCTGAAGAAAAAAATATATATTTGACATAAATAAGTGGTTAAGGAAACTGACTGCAGTGGACTAATATACAAAGAAGATGAAAGGAGTACTAGTTGCTCTGTAACAGGCCAGAACTTGGATTTAACTTAAGAGTTCAAGAGATGTTAACTAATTGACACTCACCTGTAGCTGGTCAATTAGAAGGCAGGCCTTTAAAAGAAGAGCTCAGCCTGCTGCAGAGTGAGGGAGAAAAAGCCAGCTAGGAGAGCTGAAGGAGAGAGAACAACTGTGTTTATTGCAAATCTATTTCGTTTTTTTGAAAATTGGTAAGTGGGAAAGCCACCCATTGATAGTGATAGTGATTTCTGTCTAGTAAGAGCCCAAGTAAGAGCAAGGAATTTTGTTTTGTTTATTATTTTTGAAAGCATCTGTTTTCTTATCAAATAAAAAGGAAAACCGAACTGGATGTGTCCTGGACCTTGATTACCCTAGAAGGCTGTGGTTACTGTAAGATCTGTTACAAAATCCTACCTGTAAAATGGGTGGTTTGTTACAATAGATATGCAGGCTCACAGACAGATAATATCATTGATACACACATATTCACTGACATAAAAACTCAAGCTCACTGCTACACACAAATAGGCTCACTGACAGACAATTTCAGTGACACAAACAGACAAGCTTACTGGTACACACACACAAACTTAGTACAGACAAATGGACACACACACACACACACACACACTTTCTACAGACAAATTATCTTGTATGCACACAGAAGCTTACTAAAGACATGCTTACTGTCAAACAAACACATGCTCACTACAGACAAGTTCACTGATACACACACATTGTCACTAGAGACCAGCTCACTGTAACACACATGCTCACTAAAGATAGGCTCACTGCCACACACACAGCCTCACTACAGCCAAGCTCACTGCCACACATACATGCTTACTGCAGAGATGTTCACTGTTACATACATGACCACTACAGACAAGCTCACTATCACACACATGACCACTACAGACAAGCTCACTGACACACACAGATGCTCACTACAGACAAGCTCACTGACACAGACAAACCTGCTACAGACAAGCTCACTGTAACACACATGCTCACTAAAAACAAGCTCACTGCCACACACGCTCACTACAGTCAAGCTCACTGACACACATACAAGCTCACTGCAGACAGGTTCACTGTCACATAAATTACCAATATAGACAAGCCCACTGTCACACACATGACCACTTCAGACAAGATCCCTGAAACACACATGCACACTACAGACAATCTCACTGACAAGTGCTCACTAGAGACAAGTTCACTGACACACACACACACACACACACACACACTACACACAATTTCACTACAGACAAGCTCACTGACAAATACACATGCTCACTACAGACAAGCTCACTGTCACACACAAACTAAGCTCACTGTAACAAACATGCTCACTAAAGACAAGCTCACTGCCACACACACACGCTCACTACAGTCAAGCTCACTGACACACATACAAGCTCACTGCAGACAGGCTCCAATACCACATACATGACCACTACAGATAAGATCACAGTCACACACATGACCACTACAGACAAGCTCACTGACACACACACATGTTCACTACAGACTAGCTCACTGACACACACAAACTTGTGTAACCGCAGCTGGTTCCCTTATTTACCACTATAACGTCTTAAGGCATAGAACTTAGCAGGGCTAACCATACAGATATCTTAGCTATAATTTTATATAGTTAGTAAGAGATCCTATATTTAAAATATAAAAATAATTGAGAATACAATATAAAATAAGGATTGTCTTGGAAGCAATAAAGTTTTGTCTTTTTAGATATTTATTATATAAAAATATAAATATAGACATATAAAATCCATTACAATAATTTATAGCAGAGCTTATAAAATTAAACTAGATGCTTGCAAATATAATTTTAAATAGAATATCATGCCCTTTTGAACATGTCAACATCTCTCAGTCATAATATGGAGCGACCGTGCCTGTCTCCAAATCTCTCCTCTGTGCCTTAACATTAAAAAGGTACACATATTTCTATCTTAGATATTCATTTTAGGACCTCCCTTAACTTGGCAATGATACAAGGCCATAACTAAAACATAAGTGCACACATCATGGGAATTTCACAGATATGGGGAATTTCCATTAACTTGGGACAAGATGGCTTCCTAAAGTCTGAACATCTTATTCACTGAATATGGGCAAGAAACATTGTATGAAAAACAATATGTTCCATTTCTAACACCTTGTTAGTTTGCAATATCTCTTATAGACAAAGTACACAGTTTGAGAAATACAACATTTCACTCTAAAACCTGTAATATTTGCATTTGCCCATAACACTTGCTACAGACAAGCTCACTGACACACACATGACACTACAGACAAGATCACTGACACACACATGTTCACTACAGACAATCTCACTGACACACAAGTGCTCACTACAGACAAGCTCACTGACACATACACATGCTCACTACAGACAAGCTCACTGTCACACACAAACTCAATACAAACAAGCTCACTAACACACACAATTTCACTACATACAAACTCAATGTCACACACACATGCTCACTACAGACAAGCTCACTGTCATATACACAAACTCATTACAGACAAGCTCACTGTCACTCACACATGCTCACTACAGACAAGCTCATTGACACACAAACATACAAGCAGATACACACGCACACACACACAAAATCAGTCATGGGCTGAAGCTTACCTGACACTGAAGGCAGTGGGAGCACTGGCCTCTTGCTGCTTGTGTGTGAGGGGGGCAGATCTTGCAACTGGGCGTGGTGCTTACATATGGGGGCAGGGCTTGCATGCGGGAGGCTCTGGACTCCATGTTTCCCTTCCGATGGTGCTCCTGTAAAATGAGATATCTTGGGATTTGGATCACATCGGATCCGGGAGAGCTTTACCCACTAAACTTCAACCCACTACTGAAGACGATCCTGGCAGATCTAGGGAGGTGGGCATACCCACATATATCATGGTTCGGAAGAATAGCAGTTCTTAAAATGAACATCTTACCCAGGCTCTTATACTCGTTTCAGACACTCCCCCTGGCCATACCCACACACTTTTTCTCCACACTGAGGTCCGCTATGTTTGGAAGGGAGAGAGACCGAGGCTTCGACACGATCTGCTCTGCTTACCAAGGCACTGGGGAGGACTGGCACTACCTGACTTTAGACGTTATCACCAAGCCACAGTCCTTCAGCGCATCCTGGAGTGGCACGCAAATACGCACCGGAAACAACGGGTAGCTCTAACCAGGGACGGACAAGAGGCTCACCTAAAATCCACCATATGGGCAGGGGGTTCTAAAGTTGGTGGCAGAGGAGATTCGGTGGGGATAGTAGCTCAGACACTTATCAGCTGGACACTTATGAGGGACCAACCCCATATTTCACCCATGCCCAGTCCGCTACTCCCCATTGCCCACAACCCAGCGATAGGAGGGGGATTCCCGTCAAGAGCATGGCCCTTTGCGGAGGGACGTGAAAATATTCCCATCTCCACGGTTTTGCGAGATGGCACCCTGCGGTCTCTGGACTCCCTGCTGGAAGAGATACCCCGGACTCCCCTGATAATGCTACGCTACATGCAGGTAAAGCACTATTACGACACCATACGCAACAAAGAACGACTGAAAGAACAAACATAGAATATGGTGCGCCTAGGACAAAATGGAGGAGCCAAAATTTAGGGAGATAAAACAGTAAAACAGAGTAACGTACAATAAAATGTAGCACAGTATAGCACTATAATAATAATAATAATAATAATAATCTATATGTATTTATATCCTATTAGCTTTGTCAAGGTAAATTTGTCTGCCCTGGGCAACTGTTCCACCCCCTTTTATCTGCATTCTTTCTAATTCCACTCTAAATTACTGTACCTCCAATGATGACTGTCTTCTACCAATTTGTTATTGTCCTTCATGACACGGTCACAAAATAAACTGAGAAATGGTCCTTTATCTGAATTAACATTTAAAAATATTTTATGTTAGAGTCACATAACAGGAGGGATACAGAATCCTGCAATGAACACAATATGGTACTTATAGCTTTTACTTTACTTGGTAGCTTTTTGTAGTCCCTGAATGCTGTTTTCAAGGCTGTCACAATACCCAAAAGTTCTTTAGGAAATCCAAATATCAGGATGATTTCATTTATTTTAAGAAACCTTTATCTCACTTCCAAGCCGGTGATGTGTCCCACTTCTACAAAATTATCTTTACCACCACATCTCCTTCACTTACCATTAATTAAGGACATGATTGATGCCATCAGCTAAGACTTACCATCTTTTTCATAACACCTTTGTCTCCCCTCCCAACCCTCAATCTGCTCATCACAACCAGGATGTTGACACCTAGACCATATCTCTTCCTATCTTCATAGTCCTTCTCATTCACACTAAACCCATAAACCCATTCAGCTTTCCTTTATGATGGTGTGGCCAGCACTACTCATGAATTGTTTTGGAATAAATATGTGAACATATTGTCTGAAACCCTCATGACATAACAAAAAGGAAGCAGTAGGCCTTCTGGTTGAAATAATGTTAAAAAGTAATAAGAAAAAACAGGATGTAGAATGTCCTACTGACAAGAATAGAGATACTATTATGTCTATAAGCTTCTCTCAGTAGTTCTTCTGTCCATTGTGAAAAGGCTTGCCATAGCATTTTGGGTGTGGTAAATTTATTAAATATCGGGGGTCTTTTGGATATTGGTAATTATAAGGCATTTGATTAGATTACTTGCTATTGATTGCTGTTTAAATTAGCTATTGTTTGCAAATAAGCAGAGGCCTACCCAGGTGTTAAACATTCCTAGTGGGTGGTGATTTTAGGAGTTATATAAAGGCTGTGGTCATTAGCTTGGCTAATATAGCTTGGTTGCTACTTCTAAGTGCTGTTTCTAAGTGTGTAGTTGGAGATATGCTGGAGATAAACTGGAGGTAATCTGAGGTATTCAGGAGGATAAATAAAAAGTTAAGATTTGTTTGATTTAAATTATTCTCCTCATTGGAATGGCAGACTTAGTTCAGTGTAATAGTTGCTATGCATTTGTTTCACGTTCCACTTTTTGGAGGTTTGGTTATTGTCTAATCTGTAGACAGTTCTCTATCTTGCGGCAGGAGATTGTATTTTTGAAGTCTGAGATTTGTAAATTATCTGGTGAACAAACTCAGACTGGAACTGCTGCAAAGCCACTGCCGCAGAGACATACTAGGAATGGCAGATGGATTACTGTAGGATCTGGTAGACTTAGAGTTGTGGATAAAAGGCATTTTGCACAGTCTGTTGCTCTTCATAATTAATTTTCTGCACTTTCAGAGTGTAATGGTGTTGTGGAGAGAGGCACTGAGGCTAGTGGTGTTGTGGAGAGAGGCACTGAGGCTAGTGGTGTTGTGGAGATCGGCTTGGAGACTATGGTGAGGCCTAATAGAAAGCAGTTGTTATTGGGGGATTCCATTAGAAGAGGTGTGGAGATGGACAATGGTGGTCTTGTGAGGTGTCTTCCCAGAGCTACTGCTCATAGAGACAGGAGACGTATCTGTAATATTGTTAAGCATGCAAAGCAGGAAGGGGAATTTGATGTACTTGTCCATCTAGGGACAAATGACTTGGCTTGCAATGAGGTTTCAGAGGTTAAGGACGTTTTTAGTGTTTTTGCCAATGATATACGGCAGGTTGCTTCCACACTGTCATTCTCTGAAGTTCTGCCTGTGCAGGCGGATGCGTATTAGGGACTAATTTGTGGCTTGGTGAATGGTGTCGGGAGCAAGGATTTGGCTTTATTTCTCATGGTAGCTCTGTTTGGAATGGAGATAAGCTGTACAAAAAGATGGTTTGCATCTTTCTCAAAAGGGAACAAATGTTCTCAGTGAGCAGTTCAGAGGTTTTGCTAGGATGTATTTAAACTAGGAGGTGGGGGGGGGCAAGAGGGTGATAAAACATCAATCCAATTGTCCCCAAAACAAGGACAGAAGGTGCCTGTAGCAAGTGTGTTAAAAAAATGATAAACTTAGAGTCATGTCTACAAATGCTCGCAGTTTAGGGAATAAGATCCATGAACTTGTGGCAATAATAGCAACTGATAGTGTAGATTTAGTCGCTGTTACTGAGGCATGGTATAATGAGAAAAATGACTGGGACATAGCAACACCAGGGTACTCTTTATATAGGAAAGATAGGGAAGGCAAGAAAGGGGGAGGGGTGGCCTTGTATGTGAAGGATAGCATAAAATCTAGCCTAATAAAAGTTAGTGAGGCAAACATAGAGTCCGTTTGGGTTACGTTAGAATTTGGTAATCACACAGTAACTTGTGTAGGTGTGATTTATAGGCCCCCTGGACAAATTGAAGAGTTAGATAATCTACTAGTTGAGGAAATAGCTAAAATGACAATGAAGGAGGAAGTTATCATCATGGGTGACTTTAATCTTCCTGATGTAAATTGGAAAACAAAATTAGCTACTTGTGCCAGGAGCACACATATTCTAAACTCCTTACTGGGATTGTCTCTAAAACAAGTTGTTGAGGAGCCAACTCATAAAGAGGCCATACTAGATTTAGTGTTAACAAATGGAGATTTGGTATCAGATATTACCGTAGGTGAAAGTTTAGGATCCAGTGATCATCAGTCAGTGTGGTTTAATATAAGAACAGTGACTGAGTCACACCACACAAAAACAAAAGTGTTAGACTTTAGAAAAACAGACTTTTCTAAAATTAGAATATGGGTAGAGGCATCATTATCAGACTTGAGCAATTTAAATGGAGTCCAAGAGAAATGGGATTATTTAAAAGTTGCATTATTGAAGGAAACAGAAAATTGCATTAGGCTTGTCAGTAAAAGCAAAAAATTCAAAAAACCACTGTGGTACTCCACAGATGTGGCCAAAATAGCTAAAAACAAAAAGTTAGCATTTAGGAATTATAAAAAAACCAGAGTGAGGAAGACAAAATGAGCTATAAGATTAGGCAGAAAGAGGCTGAGCAAGTTATAAGAGCTTCCAAATCACACACAGAAGAGAAAATAGCACAGTCAGTAAAAAAGGGGGATAAAACATTTTTTAGATACATAAATGAGAAAAGAAAAGTAAAACAAGGATTAGTTAGATTAAAAACAAAAGAAGGAAGGTATGTAGAAGAGGATAAAGGTCTAGCTGACTGCCTCAATGAATATTTTTGTTCTGTATTTACAGATGAAAATGAAGGAAAGGGACCTCAGTTGAGAAAAAGGATAAATGAGTCATTTATTACACGTGAGTTTACAGAGGAAGAGGTTCTATTTCAACTGTCAAAAGTAAAGACAAATAAATCAATGGGACCTGATGGAATACACCCAAAGCTATTAAAAGAGCTTAGTGGTGTACTAGCAAAACCATTAACAGATTTATTTAACCAATCATTGTTAACAGGAGTAGTCCCAGAAGATTGGAAGTTAGCGAATGTTGTGCCCATTTACAAGAAAGGTAATAGGGAGGAGTCGGGCAACTATAGGCCAGTAAGCCTTACTTCAGTAGTGGGGAAAGTGATGGAAACCATGTTAAAGGATAGGATTGATGAACATCTAAAAACACATGGATTTCAAGATCAGAGACAACATGGGTTTACTTCAGGGAGATCATGCCAAACTAATCTTATTGATTTTTTTGATTGGGTAACTAAAATTATAGATCAGGGTGGTGCAGTAGACATTGCTTACCTAGATTTCAGTAAGGCTTTTGACACTGTTGCACATAGAAGGCTTATCAATAAACTGCAATCTTTAAGTTTGGATTCCAATATTGTTGAATGGGTAAGGCAGTGGCTGAGTGACAGGCAACAGAGGGTTGTAGTTAATGGAATATATTCGAAGCTTGGACTTGTCACCAGTGGGGTACCTCAGGGATCTGTACTTGGACCCATTCTCTTTAATATTTTATTAGTGATATTGCAGAAGGTCTTGATGGTAAGGTATGTCTTTTTGCTGATGATATTAAGATATGTAACAGGGTTGATGTTCCAGGAGGGATAAGCCAAATGGCAGAAAGATATTTATACCTTAGAGAGGGTTCAGAGAAAACCTACTAAACTGGTTCATGGATTGCGGGATAAAACTTACCAGGAAAGGTTAAAGGATCTTAACATGTATAGCTTGGAGGAAAGACGAGACAGGGGGGATATGATAGAAACATTTAAATATATAAAGGGAATCAACACAGTAAAGGAGGAGACTATATTTAAAAGAAGGAAAACTACCACAACAAGAGGACATAGTCTTAAATTAGAGGGAAAAAGGTTTAAAAATAATATCAGGAAGTATTACTTTACTGAGAGGATAGTGGATGCATGGAATAGCCTTCCAGCTGAAGTGGTAGAGGTTAACACAGTAAAGGAGTTTAAGCATGCGTGGGATAGGCATAAGGCTATCCTAACTATAAGATAAGGCTAGGGACTAATGAAAGTATTTAGAAAATTGGGCAGACTAGATGGGCCGAATGGTTCTTATCTGCCGTCACATTCCATGTTTCTATGTTTCTATGTTTCTATAACCATTTTGCATTGTTGGAGTCAATTCATAACACCTCACTGTGAATAATAATAATGGAAAGCATGGCACTTTTATATGAAGACTCAGTCACCCAGCTTACAGTATTCCATGA